CTAGAGTGCTCTGGCATCATAGCTCACAGCAACCTCAAACTCCTAGGCTTGAGCAATCTGCTTGCCTCAACTTCCCAAGTAGCTGAGACTGACTGCAAGTGCCCATCACAGTGCCTGGCCAGTTTTTCTATTTTCAGTAGAGATTAGGGTCTTGCTCTTGCTCAGGCTGGTCTTGAACTCCTGAGCTCAAGCAGTCCACCCACTTCGGCCTCCTAGGCCAGGTGCAGTGGCTCACAGTTATAATCCTAGCAGTGTAGGAAGCTGAGGCAGGTGGATAGCTTGAGTTCATGAGTTTGAGACCAGCCTGAGCAAAATCAAGAACCCCATCTCTACTAAAAAATAGAAAAACTAAAGCAAGAGGATTGCTTGAGCCCAAGAGTTGGAGGTTGCTGTGAGCTGTGACACCACAGCACTCTACCCAGTGCAACAAACAGCTTGAGAATCTGTCTCAAGAAAAAAAAGAAAAAAACACTTTGGCCAGCCAGAGTGCTAAGATTACAGACATGAGCCACCACACCTGACCAGTATGGCCATATTTTATAGTTACTCCAAACTTCAGATTTCTCCTGAAAATATCACTGCAATAATTATGTGATACAGTGCTACACAAACTCTTATTTTAGATTGCTTATATTTCTGAAGACAACAATGTGAAATATAATAGTTGTATTTTACTAAATATAGGGATATTTGACTCTCAGTTTTTGTTTTTGTTTTGTTTTGTTTTTTGAGACAGAGCCTCAAGCTGTCCCCCTGGGTAGAGTGCCCTGGCATCACAGCTTACAGCAACCTCCAACTCCTGGGCTCAAGCGAGTCTCCTGCCTCTGCCTCCCAAGTAGCTGGGACTACAGGTGCCTGCCACAACACCCAGCTATTTTTTGGTTGCAGCCATCATTGTTGTTTGGCGGGCCCTGGCTGGATTTGAACCCGCCACCTTAGGTGTATGTGGCTGGTGCCTTAGCCACTTGAGCCACAGGCACCGAGCCTTGACCCCCAGTTTTATATGAGTACCAATCCAGATACAATGCTATGTT